CATTGTCTATAATGTTCTGAGTTCGATCCCCAGCACACACACACAAAATAATAATAATAATATAATGTGAGTTGAAAATTTACTCCCAGTGGTCTCCTCCTTTTCTGTACTGTTCAGCCGGGGCTGGGCAGGAGGCAGCTCTGCCTGCCTTGAGTCTTACAAGAGCACCATAATTGAAGGAAGCAAAGGGAATTCCTGGAAGACAAGTAAATAAAGACCACGTCTTTTTGAGGGGAGGGGGCTGTACCATGGATCAAACTTGGGACCTTGTGCTTGTGAGGCAGACAGCAGAAGCACTGAGCTAAATCCCCAGCCCAAGGGCCACATCTTGAAGTGCTTTGGAAAACATCCCATAGGAGCTCAGATTTTACCCTGTATATGAGTCAGGCCGTTGAAAGGATGAGAGAGCAGCTTTATAGAATGTTTATTTAGAAAAACACTCCTGAAGATGCCCAACTTAACATGACAGCCTAAAATCAAACAATTGTTAGTTTCCTCCCAAAATCCCTCCAAAGGGAGTAATACTGCTATAATCCCAGATCAAAAGAATGGGAGAGGCAATGACAGAGGTGACAAGAGCTACTTTATAAACGATGAAAAGAAGTTCATCAAATAGTTGTGGACTTGACAAAACTGAAGAGGCTGAATTGCTCCGAGAGAGGAGGCCCTGTGAGGGAGACAGAGCTGAACTGTAGAATCTGGAAGCAGCACAAAGGAGGTCACCTAAGGACCTTTAGAAAGAGCCAGGAGCTTCACACAGGAAACTGTTCAAACTTGGAAGAAGGACCTAAATTTCAGACCCCATTCAGCCAGGAAAAACAGCAACAACTTACACCCTCTGCACCCAGGCAGAAGAGAAGAGGTTGACTCCCTGGAACAAGGAAGCGGACCAACTCCTGTCTTCAACACACCCGGCAAGCAGAAGGCTCAGTGAGGAGCATACTAAAAGGAGCGGGATTAAGTCAAACTCCATCCTCTAATCCCTAGTTTATATCTTCTAAGCATGAGTTTTAAGGGTTAGAGAATCCAAGACTATTTAGGGAACCAAAAACTCAGGAGAAAAAGATGCACTCAGAGCCTCAAATTTGGCAGAAGAAGTCAAGCAAGATGACAATTTCAGAATGTCTTTGGAATGTAACAGAAAGCCATTTGTACCATAAAAATTCAAAAGAAGCAAGATAAAGAAACTAGGTTTTATGGACAATATGTTAACCCTTAGGAATTTCTAATATGGCTTGTCTATCACTGTGATGCATGAGTTACAAGAAACGCGGGGTATAAAGTCATTCCTGGAATCTTCCCCTCATGAAACACAGCAGAGCACCCCCTCTGCCACTGTGAGAATCAAGCTATAAGCAGAAACTCTAAGGAGTCCATTTTTTAAGTTTAAGCTTTAAATAATCCCAAAATTGATAGCCTAAAATTTAGACCCCAAATCATGTAAAGATCCAGAAATATATAGATAGAAGACCTCCTGTCTGAATACACTTGATGATGCCAGTCTTAATGAAAAATAGCAGTTGAATTGCTTGAAGTTTTATTATATTATTGAGACTGGACACTCACAACATGATAGTAACCTAAAATTTAATGAGATAGCCTGACAAAATGAAGTTTCATAGTGTACACCTCTCTCTGTTACTAATGGAGCACACCAGGAGCATTAGTGCAGGCAGAAAGATGTGTGCCTTATTCTTGCTCCTCCCTCCCCACATCTTCCCTTCTAACCACACAACCTCTTTTCATCTCCCTTTCTCATCTCCCTCTCTCATCTCTCAAGGATGCTCTATGCTGTCTTTTCTACCCCACCTACCTGGCCAACTCCTCTCCATTCTTAAATGGCCAAGAGTCCTCACCCATTTCAGGCAAGTCAGTAGCTTCCTTCTCTATGTATTAAAGAATTTCATTCAACATTCTTCTAAGTCTCTGACCACACTATATCATAATAACCTACTGATATTCATGTCTCTCCCCTACAAAGAAATAGAGACTGTGTAACATTCAGCTTCAGAGTTCCAGAGTTGAGAAAACCTTCTGGAATATAGTAGGTACACAGATAAAAGGATTATAATTATTTGATTCTCATTCTTTTTTCTCTCTAACCATTTTTTCCTGTATAAAAATGATGCTTCATTTCATTTCATAGATGTCAACAAAAGGGTTCTGAAAATATTTAATTATGTATTTTTGCTTTGTTGACTTCATTCCTTCAACAAAGCACTCATGTCAAGGTTATGAATCAGAAACCTGATGTGTATTAGAGCAGGGTTCTGAAGAAAATAAAGTTATTTTAATGACTATCTTGGTTATTTTCTTGTTGTTGGACAAAATGTCCAGTTAAAGGAGGAAATGTTTATTTCAGCTCACAATTTGTATAGGTTCCAGTCCAGAGTCAGCTGGTCCAAGGCAGGGCAGCATGGCAGAGGGCATCGCAGAGAAGAAACAGTCCATGGCAGGGTAGGCAGAAAGAAGTGAAGACCCCGCCCCTTTCAACCATCCAGGCTATATGCCTTCTGGGTGGCCTTTGTCGGGACCCACACAGCATAGGGTCCAAAGCCAGGGAGTATGGTAGGAGATGAAGAAAAAAATGAAGAAACAAAGACTTCTTGAAAGTTGGGACCAGGCGCAACCATAGCTTGTAGGGAGCTAATGGCCACCTGGAGTCCCATGCACTCTCTATTTGTAGTGGAAGGCAAAGAGGAAGAGAAGGCGGGGCAAATAGTGCTGCACGGCCTCCATGGCCTAGGTGGAACACAAAGTGATTGTTTCATGATTGGGACATGTGCAGGAAGGGAAGAGGGAAGGATACTACTGTCACTGTTTTCTGGGGCTGTAACATCTAGGTTCTACAATATTAGTCAAACAGACTGTGACTGTGTCTGTTGGACTCTCTAATCTATGGAGGAGAAAGAGTAGGGAGGAGATGAAGGACCATCTTCAGGCTCGGCCCGCAGCAGGCCTTCCCATTACCAACAGGAAGAACCATGCTAAACCAATCAGCGAACTAATTTAATAATAATACACCCTTAATCCAAGCATCACACACCCCAGATCCAGCCAGCTCTGAAAGCCCACCTGTGAGCAGCACATGAGGTTTTAGGGAGACATCCAGGTACAAGCCAAAACAATACCCCAGTGCCACCACGTCTGCTTGCCCATTAATTATGATTTCTAACTAGTTTTGTAACCCTGCAATAAAAGGCACTACATACTTACAGAATATTTTCCATAAGTGTATATAATTAGGGATTGCCATTATCCAGAAAAAAATGCATGGAATCTCTTTTGGGCATATATCATTTTTTAAAAGGAATATTTTTACAGAACATAATACAGTAGAAAGAGGAACTGTTAGAAAGAAATTCCATTTTCTTAGAGATGGATGTATTAATTACTGTATGCCAGGAAATCTGTGAGGCTCTGCAGGGAGCAAGGGAGACCTGGTTCTCTCACCCATGGAATTTAGGTAGGGAATTTGGCAAATTAAATACATAAATGAAAAACAAAGTAAATACATATAAACTGTCATATTCCTACAAGGAAACAAACCAGTGGGATGGTGTGTTAAAGATGGACAAGAGCTGGGGATTTAGCTCAGTGGTTCCACCACCTGCCTTGTAAGTGCAAGGTCCTGAGTTTGATCCCTGGTATGAAAAAAAAAAAAAAAAAAAAAAAAAAAAGAACATGGGCAGGTTTATTTTACATAATACAGTCAAAGAAGATTTCCGTAAGGAATTGTGTCCTAAACAGAGACCTGAAGTATGAGGGCTCCATTCTGAAACATCAGGTGTCCAGCATGGGGGCTGGCAGACCCCAGGCAAGCAAGAGCTCTGTGTGTTCACTGAGCTTAGAGTAGAAAGAGCATTGACAGGAATAAGGGACACTGAGAATAAGAGGGCAAGAAGTGGGAAAGGGACTCTGAAGAAAGGCAGAACTCAGGGCTGTCGGGAGCCATTCTACATAATTTTTAGGAAAAATCATTTCACAACTAAATAATGATTAAGCCTACCCTTCCGGCCTATAGGCTGAATATGACATGCCAAAACACAACTCCATTTTTGCCTCCAAAAACATCTGAGACCTCAATGGTGCCGTGATGCTGTCACACTCAAGGGTGAGATTACATCAGCTGATGACATCCTGGTTCCCGGAGGACCAAGTAGTAAGAGAAAGGTTTCACCTGGGGAGCAACAAATTCCTTTCAGCTTAACTCACCCACCTGCTGTTGTAAAAACACCTTTGCTCATTTTACCACCCCAATCAGCCTACACTCATCAGCATAAGATCCCCCTGTTAATAGGATTGCCTCCACCCTCCTCTAAGACATCTGACATTTCCCCTGATTATAAGATCCTCACCAATCTAGGATTATCACCACCTTCTGAGTCATCTGTTACTCCCTGTGAACCCAATAAAGACGGCAAGCTCAGGTGCCTTCATCTCTGCCGCCAGAGCAGCACTGATCAGACCCAGAATTCAGCTTCTTCTCTCAGTGTTGCTTCCCATCTTTATTCTCTAATTCACCTTGTGCTGTCGTGGCTCACAGGAGACCAGGACCCACTGCAGAGTTGCTGATAAATGTCCCCTTTCCCTATTTCCTACACAGAGCATGCAGGTCTTGGTTGTAAGACTAAAGGACTGGACTCATCTCAGAGAAATACTGAAAGGTTTCAAACAACAAAGGCCATGAACCTGATAGACATCATTCAATTGAGTCTTAGGAGATGGAGCAGAAGCAGCTAAGGTAAAGCTTACTGCTTTGTGGACCAGTGTTCAGATGACTGTGGTCTGGAGATGTAGAAAGCAGAAGAGGGATTCTAGAACACAGTTTGGAAAATGAAACCAATAGGGCTTGTTAATGGAAATGAGGAAAAGCAAAAAACTAAACTCATCAAGCATGATTCACTTTTCTTAACTGAGGAAGACTCGGGGAGGAATGTGCTAGACCACTGGGCTAAGCTGATCAAGAGTCCAGTTTGGAGAATATTTAACTGAAGATGTCTATAAGGTGCACAAGTAGATGTGAGAAAGATAAATGAGGCTGGAGTTTGGGAGGCTCTAGGCTGGAGATAGAAACTCAGGAGGCGTTGGCATATGGGTGATATTTAAAGTCATGACAGGGATGCACTTCTGAAGAGGATGTAAAGGGAGGAGACAGCAAACCCAACAGAGCTCTGAAGTTACCAGTCCAGTGGAGGAACAATCTACAGAGGAACTGAGAGGGAGAAAGCAGGAAAGGAGACAAGGACCCATAGATGTGGGGTCCAAGAAACCAAAAGAGGTAAGTGTGTCAGTAGGGGGGATGCAACATACTCTGTTGAATTCCGCTAAAAGGGGAAGATGAAGATAGGAAATGATCTGCTTTTTTATAGATTTGACAACCAAAGTTACATAGTCACAAAAGTTACTGCAACCTTAAGATCAGTTTTCTGTTGCAGGGGTAGAATCAAGATTTCCCCCTAAATTAAAAGGGGAAGGGTGCAGACTGAGATGGATAGACACACTGAGAATGTTGTGTGTTGAAGAGATAAGCCAGTAGTTATGCATAGTGTGACAACCAAAGAGAGTCTTTATTGGTTTCCATTGGATCAGAAGGAGGGGTGTCAGGAAGAAAAATTCTAGAATACCTTTTATTATCGGTAAGAATGATTCACTACATGTGAGCAAAGATTGATGCATGAGAAAGATGGGGGATGACAGAGACAGGAATCTTTGGAAAGGTGAAAAGGGGCATGCCCTGTGGGACAGGTAGAACGTTTTACCTTTGATAAATGGATAGACACCTTTTCCTTTTTAACAGAGAATAAAAAGAGAAGATGCATATAGATTAAGATTTATAGATTTACTATTAGGAGAATATAGTATTAAAATGTCTTCCTTTTTTCACAAAAAGGACCATACTAAGTAAACCTCTCAATGTCTGGAGGTGGTGATATGAAAATTGGAGGAAACAACCAAATATCTATTTGATGCTTTCAATCATGAATACAGAGTAAAAACTAGTTACTCCAGGTATGTGATTTTTTTCCATTGTCTTTCTGTTACTCATATTCAGGCACAGGGAATTCAGATGAGTGAGTTTCTATTAGTGTGGAGATTTTCTAAGTGAGTGGACTGGAGAAAGAGACAAAGAATTAAGAATGTATCAAGAGACAGAGATTAAAATTTGAGGCCGTGGAAAGAGAGAAGTGGATATAGGTTTAATAAGCTGAGATAAAATGATGAGGGTAACACACTGGATATCTCAAGGAGCCAAGGGATTGCCACAGAGTGAGCAATTGAGCCGACAGATGAGTTGGTGTCAGAATAAAATGTTCAGCTAGAACCAGTAATCCAGAGACTGCAGCCCGGAAGATGAAGTCCAGGGGACAGCAGGGGGGACGGACGGCTGAGGAGGAAACGGGAGATGAGGTGTCAGAATGGCATCCTTTCCCAAGGGCCCCAAGAAAGCCACAAAACTGTTGTGGCCACTGCATGAAAGTTGAAGTAGCCCAGGAAGATGTCAAATGTTGGAATATGACATTAATATTTAGTAAGTGAGGGGAATGGCAAGAGAGCTAGTAGATCTGTGAGAGGGGTTGGTGGATGGGGTGTATAACATGTGGAGCAGCCATGGGCTGTCCAGTGAGGTGGATGGGAAGTGGAGGAGAGCCCTGAGAGAGGTGGACACCTCCTTCTGCCAGGACCCAAGCATCTGCCGGAGGGGCACTGAAGAAGAAGTGGCATTCAGAGGCACGGCCAGTCCTGTGGTGGAGACAAGGAGATGGAGGTGACTTCAGAGTAAGAGCTGAGGAGTGTGGAAGTCAGCTGGACCTAGCCAGGGACGTCAGGTGGGAACCGGGAGAGTCCGGGCATGGTGTGGAGTAGTTCAGAGAGAGAGCGGGCAGAGCTGGAGACAGAGGGAATGGAAAGTGGTAGCTGAGGTCAAGATGGGCATGGGGCATGGCGATACTTCTCCTCGTCTTGGAAAAGGAAGATGTTCAGCCAGAATGAAGGCAAGTTCTGGAGCGTGCTGGTTTACATCTCAGTGGCAGAGCAGCTGTTTGGCCGCCGGCAGAAGATGGCAGGCGTGGAAGGTGTGGCTGGATGCCCGGGGGGCAGCATCCTGCCTTTCCTCGTTGAACTTGCCTTTGGCTCCCTTGCTCGGCTCAGTCTGAAAGCACTGGCACGGGAGCCTGCTGGCCCGGCCCTGCCTGCACGCGCTGCTCTGCACCTCACAGGCTCGCGGCAAATGGAGGGCATCGGGAGGAGCTGGACATCGCTTCCAGGAGCGGGCTCAGGAGAAGCTCGGGCTGACCCTCCCTCTAACGCTGTTGCTATTGCAGTGGGCGGTGGAGAAGGAACAGACCTTTCAGTCGTCACACACTCAAGCTGAGACCCAGCTGGGTGAACGAGAAACGAGCCACAGCTGTTGTCTGGGCCCAGCGGAAGCAACCCTGGCCGCTGTGTCCCCACCCCTCAAGCACCCGGGCACCCGGGGAGCCCAGGGAGCCCAGGGAGTGGAGCGGCCCAGTGGGAAGCTGTGCATGACAAAGCCCTTCACAGAGGAAGCGGGTGGGGTGCATGTGAGTAAGTCTCATTAAGCAAAGGAAAAGGTAGTTTCTCTCTGGCAGAGTCTCAGAAGCAGACTGAGAATCAGACTGGCTGAGAAGGTGGAGGGTGAACCCTCACAGGCCCGCCAACCGCCTGTCCTCGTGGGGGAACACAGGGGTTTTTGTCATAGCTGTCTGCTCCCATTCCATACGGCTTATCAAAGGAATAAAAGATTTTTGTTCTTTAAAAAGAGAATAAAGCTTCAGGCAAAATTAAAATGTTTAAGAACTGCTTTTAAAAGATTATAAATGTGGACATATAGACTTCGTTTTTTAAATGAGGAAATATAAAATATTCTTGTTCGTCTCTTTTTCCCTCTGTCTTCCCTTCTCCCTCTCTTCCCTTTCCTTCCAGGCTCCTGTCCTCTCTCCCTCCACCACCACGCTCTTGTAAAACTAAAACGTTGGAATCCTCGACTCGGAAACCTGGGGACAGTGTGAGGCGGTCCTCGGCGCGGGGCAGTGAGCAGTCTGCAGTGCCACAGGCAGCACAGAGAATGCGGCCGGCTTCAGCTGAGCTCCCTGCACTCGGGACGGGAGGAGCCCGGCTGGGGCTGAGAGCAGAGAGCCTGCTGGCTCCGGGCCCCTTGTCGCCTCTTGGCCTGAGAAGTCAAGGGCAGAACCTGCCTCCTGCAGTGGCTGGGGCGAGGCCAGCCTGGTCTCCCTCGCCGTCCCCACCTCCCCAGACCGCAGCGCGGCACTGCCCGGAGCTCTGAGGGAGCACGGCTTAGTCCTCCTGTCCCAGCCCTCCACAGCCCAGCCTCTCTGGCTCTCTGCCCCAAGGGCGGTTTCTCAGCAGGAGTCAGACCGTGGCCAGTGGAAGTATTTCTTTATCCAGATAGGGTTCTTTCTCTTTTCAAAAATGATTCTGAAATTTGCTGGCTAGGGGCTCTGTCGACTGACTGCCGTTCAGCCCACGGGAGGCAGGTTGTTCTGCAGCCTCTCCTCGGAAGCATTTCTAACTGAGGCGGGTGGCCTCCATGCACGGTGCGCCTCTCACGTCTGGGGCGGCCTGGAACGGCTCCGTCTCACGAACGGATGGGGTGCCTGGTCTCACACGCGTCTCACCTCTTGCGGTGAGAGCTGCTAAACTGCACTGCACCACTTCTAAGTGAACTGTCGTGAACCACTGTCCGGGTGGTTTCCTATTCTAGAAGGCAGTAGTGCGACTTCACTCACTGAAGACCATTCATGTCACTTGGGTGGGGCCAACCCTGAGCACTAGAAGCAAAGAGCAGGGGGCAGAAAATGCGTGGGAGATAAACCGGGCAGAGTGGGGTGGGGGGCAAGACAGAAGGAATCACAGTCGGAACAGGGGCCAAAGCGCTGTGCTCAAATGTCTCGGCCAACTCCGGGGCGCGTGTTCTCTATGCCCTGGACACGAGAGTCACCTCTGGCACCTGCCACCCTGGAGCCCCGCTGCCCACCTGGCCTGGCAACCTGAAATCCCTCCCAGAGGCTTCCTGGCTGGGAGGGCACCATGCAAGGCCCCGAGGGAGGAATTACAGGCCTCGGCTGCCCCGGAGTGTTTGATCATCACTCTTGGAGGCTAAATACAGAGAGGAGAGAAAAGCCACGCTAGGTTTGGAAAGTCTAGCGATTTCTTCATGGTGTGTTTAGTCTCCCGCGTTTACCTCAGAGTTATCTAGAGAAATTGAACATCTGTAAATCCGAAATAAAAAAGGAAGGGTTCTTTTTTTAATTAAATTCTTATTCTTAAACCATGTAAATTATTCTTAGTGTCTTCTGTTTGTCTTTTAAAATGTCTGTCCATTCATTAAAAAAAACTATTTGAGCTGATATTTGTAATTTAAATAGTTGCATTAACTTAACCTTGACACCTTGTGATTTTTATTAAAGTATCTTGGTTCTCAGCAGCCTAAATGGGGCGGCAAAGCACGGGCCATGCAGATGTCCTCCCGACTGCCCTGGTCACCTCCACTGTTGGCCCCACAGCTGGCCCCACAGCTGGGACAAAGCCGAGCAGCGGCCCGCGCTCTGGGAAGAGGCCGGGCTGCAGCCGCGTTCAGCGATGGAAAGCTCTGCAGACAGCTCGCTGTCTCCCCGGGGCCACCCTGGTCTGCGCCAGCTAACCCAGGTTCCTGCTCCATTCGGGCTGCTGGAGGGACCCCCGGAAACCTGGAGGCGGAAACATGTTTCCCTCGGGCCTGGCCTGGTCATCTCATTGCTGGGGATCTGGCCCCACGCGGGCCCGCCGGCTCCTGGGAGCCCGAATTGCACAGCAGCGTGCAGGGCTTGGTCTGGCAGGGCCTTGGCTGTGCAGCTGCCCTGGGGTAGCAGTGGGGTCCCTGGCTGGGCCAGGTTGCATGGACAGGAGGTGGCCCCTGGCCCACCGGGCAGGGCGCAGCAATGGTGCCCGAGGCCACCTTTACACCACCTGGGGGGCTCACAGTTTCCCTTATGGCCTTATGACCACTTTTCACAGTAAAATAGCCACAACAGTCACGGTTATATAGCTGCCATCTTTATTTCACACAACTTGAGGCCTATTTAAGACAAAGAATAAAAATGAGATTCAGAAACCAGGCATGGGGGCACACACCTGTAATCCCAACACTCAGGAGGCTGAGGCAGGAGGATCGCTGTGAGTTTGAGACAGCCTGGGTTACATAGTGAGTTCCAGGTCAGTCTCAACTACATAGTGAGGCCCTGTCTCAAGCCGCCCCCCCGCAAAAAAGATGAGATTCAGAAGCAATGTTGCGATGTTCGTGCTCACCCGGCAGGTATGTGCTGGATAAGATTCACTATTGATCAAGCTACCAAAACTTCCTAAGTTCAGTTCTAAAATTCTAGCTGACTCTGGTTCATTTTATGAAACATTTCCTCAGCGCCACTCATGCAAATTATAAAATGTTTGGCATCAGATTTTTAATAAAAATCTAAAATATTTATAACAGTTGCTAACGATTAATGAAGAACCCTTCTGAAGCCCATATGTTAATTATTACATGACCCTCTATTTTACTAATCCATACCAAACTCTGCTCTACTTTCCTTATTTATAAAAATTAATTAATTTCAAAATATTAAATGTATGGTGAAAATAATAGATTTAGGTTGGCTGTCTCCTCCACTACCACCTGTTATATATTGACAGCCATATGAATTTTAAAAATCTTAAGAAACATGTGTACTTCTGAACATTTCTAGAAATACATCTAAGAAGGCACTGTTTATGTTTGTGTTAGAATTATAAAACTGGGACTGCCATAATATCAGAATTAAAATTTCACAGGAACATAATATATATTATTTAAAATTAAACACCGATAAATCAGCTGTTCGGCTTATCGTTCCATATGGACTCAGATGAGGAAGTTAAAAGCAGGGATCAGTATTGATGACCATCCATTGCGAAAACCTCACACACTAACACTGAAGCACTCTGTCATTGAAGAAAAAGAAAGAAAACGACAGTTATGTATACATTACTACTAAAGCGTATGTTTTCTATTAATAACTGCTTTTAAACCCTCCTTTTCTATAGCACTCGCGGAAGCAGGTGAGCAAGGGTGTCTGGAGGCCAGGTCTGACCTCTGACGGTGACCACGCCCCTCGGGAGGGATGGCCGCCGCGCTGTTGCCCAGGGCTTCCTTCCTTCCGCTCCTGGCAGCCGCCTGGCTCACTTCCCAACCTTCCAATTTCTTGTCCTCGAGAAGGAAAGGAGCGATGGGAACCAACATATGTTGCTTCTCATGTCGCTGTTCTTCCTGGCTTAATATGTGCAGCAGCAGACAGAGCCCCCTCCCATGACGAGCCCTGGAGACTCTGGGCCGCAGCCCTGCCACAGGGCCTGCCTAACCCAGCCGCCCCGCGGGCGAAGGCCAGGGCCCCGCCGAACTTCCTCTCCCTGAGCTCTTTCTGCGGCCAGGGTGACGAATCTGGAGGGCGATAGCATCTGTATCAGTTTGTTTGAACCACCAAGAAATCAAAGCACATGTTATTGTCTTGGAGGACCTAGTGTGTCCGTAATACTTCCTGCATCCCAGAGGGGATTAAAAACAAAATGTTTTAAATAGCCCTTGTACTGGTTAGGGTTAGATTTACTTTTCTGTAAAACCCTAAAATAAGTAAAAATTGCACAAGTTTTATTTCTCTCTCTTTAAAGAAAGCCCGGAAATTAGCAGCTGGTTCCCATGAGAGACCTAGTTAGGGACCTTTCTGCTTCAGCATTCCGGTTTCAGGCTGTTATCCCGTCACCTCAGAGTCAATATGGCGTCTGAAGCTCCAGCCATCACACCAGTGTTACCAGCAGCATCAAAGAAAAAGAAAGGCCGAGGATTGGGCCTTTTCAGCTGAGACAGATCCTTTTACCTTCCCAAAAGTCTCAAAAACTACTGCACTTGCATCTTATTGGTCAGAATATCATCCCAGGATCACACCTAAATGCAAGCAGATTGAAAGTATTATGTTCATTTCAGAAGTTTAAGTGCCCAGTTAAAAATCAAGGTTTGGCAGTTAATTAGCAAAGGAAGAATCGATACCCCAGTAAATACCCCGTCCATACTGCAGTCTCTGTAAAGATGTTTGGAAGTTAATATTTCAATTCATGCAGCATTTAAAGAACTTAATGATCATATGAAGAGTTTTTGCCCATAGGATAAGGTCTTGGCTTAGGCTGGCTTCCGAGGCCCCTGACATCTTGGTGCTGGAGAACTGTGCCTCTGCGCCCCACCCCATAACCTGCAGCTCTGGCCTTGCTCGACCGGAAGTGATCACCGCACACACACAGAGCAGGGAAACATCTGTTTTAAGCAATTGATTTTAGAAAGATAGATTCAAACTCATTTGTATGAGGCCTCTTCCTTTGTGACTCCTTCGCCCTTATGCAGAGGGTCTGAACAGGAAGAGGCTAAGTGAGCCTTAATTGAGTTTTTATTAACTCGACCAGTTCAATGACTAATGCATCTCTAAACTGGGTGGTTTTATAGGCGCGCATTTAGGTTATACCGTGCTACACTAAAAGCAGCTACTACGTCGATCAAGACTGACCTCGTGCCCCAGCGCACTGTAAACGTCCTCCATGCTCAGTGTGCACGCGGAGGACCTGTGGAAGGTGTTGTACGTGAGCCAAGGTCAGAGAGAACTGCTCCACCCCGAATGGGAGCCAGCACTCGGGGTGAGGATCAGGAAGCGAAGGCCTGGTGGAGCCGTGGGGCGGCCGGGTCTCCACCAGTAAAATGGGCTCACAGGGGAACTGTGCTGTGCTTTAAAAGGTCACGAAGAAACACATGAAGTTTTCAAGACCGTGCCCTAGGAGATTACACTAAACGGTGCTGAGTTATGTTTTGCAAACAAACATAACAGAGCAGAAGGGGAACACGTACCACAGTCTTTAGGTATACAGAGCAAAGGGGAGCTGCAGGCGGCAGGAGCGCAGACACCCCTGATCACCTGCAGCCCGGCCGGCCTTCTCCGAGGCAGCAGCTCCTGCGTAGTTTCCGCCATGTCAGATGTTTGTTTTTTCTGTTTCCATTCTACTTGGACTTCCTGCCCGTTCTCAGGTCTGCTTGTGCACGTCTTGGGTCTCCTCAGGAACCTGCCGCCCCTCCCAGGACCCCATGTGCTTTCTGGATCACTCCCTCCTCCCTCCTGCTCCTCCGGCTCCCACAGGGATCTTGTCCACCTCTTTTGCCAGGGCTTTGGATTCTCCGTCTGCTTCTGTCCTGCTGGGTTTCAGCGCGCAGGCCCATGCCGTGACTGTCATATCTCCATCCTAGGCCCTTTCCCTGACTTCCCTCTGAGCTTCCCTTCACAGTTGTGTCTGCGACATCTCAGAGCCAGCAGGCCGGCAGTGGACTCTTTCCCGCCCCTCCCACCTCTCCCCATCTCAGCCAGCCTGCTCTCTCCTGGACGCAGGCCGGAAATGTCAGACATGTACATGACCACGCAGGATCGCGCTGCCCTGCCTTCGAAATCCAGCCCTCCTTCTGGCCCAGTTCATCATCTCTCAGTAGTGCACGCGACAGACTTTTGTTTCTTAGCCATGATTTTTCACGTATCCAGTCGACCCTGTACCCACTACCTTGTGTACGCCTGAAACACAGCTTTCATTAGTCCACTTTCCCAGTGGGCAAATCGTCCAAGGCCCTTGGGCACCTGTAAGTGTGAGAGTCTTACTGGGGCTTCTCAACTCCCTGGTCACAAAAGTCTGCATCTTCAGCAGTCACAAAGAGCTCTTAGAGTCCACGAGACCCTGCCATTTCAAACTTTTCTCCTTTTGCTCAAATTGTTCCATCAGCCTGAATGCCATGTCTACATCTCCGTCTTTCAAAATTATATTTAGAACAAAACTCTTCAAGCTCTTCATAAACAAAGCCGAAGTGCTTTAGGAAAAAAAAATGCATTTGAATAAAATTCCTAAGGAGATATCCAAAACAAAAAACATAAACTAAGACAAATCCAACAAAAACCGTAAAGGACCAATGTGTTAAATGTAGTTAAGTGGCAATAAGCACAAAATAATCACATTTATTTAACACACCAGTCTTCAAAAGGCCCTCAAAATTGAGAGATGAGCAAAATGAGACATTGTCCCGGGTGATTTTCTGAAATCACATACCATTTGTTAAAGTACGCTTCTGTTGATGAACTCTGTTACTCTGGCCTTGGAAAATAATTACAAAAATTTGAGCAAAATAATTCCCTTTTTGGCAGCCACACTAAAATACCATCATAAGAAAATACATTCATGG